TGCCTCGTTTTTTGATTCTTCATCTTCGTGCAGCATATCTAGGTTTTTTTGTTTGTTTGTGTTTTAAAGAAGGTGAAATTTGAGCACAGTTAAGTATAGGTCCTACACCTTTGCTGCTGGAGTGAGGTGTCTGGGCTGTGGTTCCCACCTGGAGCCAGACATAACCTCCCAGCAGCCTCTGGTTTGACCACAACACCAAGAAGTGTGATGAGGGGTCACTTAGGACAGACCCCCCAGCCCGGCTCAGCGGGTGATTTTGGGTGTCCTGGTTCCCTGTGCCCTCTGCAACCCTGGCACTGATCAGCTCCTGTGGAGAGCATGGGCCCAGCTGGGTGACTTCCAGTGAGTTGGAGATCCCTCTGGTGGCTTTGCTGAGTCCTCTCCATGGGATTTTCGTGAGAACTTGGTGTATTCTGTCTGGTTCACAGCACAGGATTGATGGAGATTTCCCTGTCTGGCGTCACTGGTGGAGCTGGGTTGACTGCAGGGGGAGCTGTGACCACAGAGAAGAGCTACAGGTGTCACATTCCCAGTTTCAAGACTGAATTTCTCTTGCTACAGCTAGAAAAGAGAAGAAAAGGAAGAAGTTTACCTTTGTTTTTAAAAATCTGTGCATCTCTGCCTATGGATTTCAGCTTACAATTGCCTCTTTCAGAAGAACAAACCCATCAACAACCTTGGAGATTATCCAAACTCAGCAGTTGTCCCACCTGATAAGACACTTGTGTCCTCATTCCTTCCCACACCTTGTTGGGTACTGCCCTCTGGGGCAGGCTGTGCTCGTTCTGCTGGGCAGAAACAGTTGGATGAAGCTGGATTCTCCCAGAATGGATGTGTGGTGTTTCTGGATATCTCCTCTGTAGCAATAATACCTTTGAGAAATAAACTTCCAAGTCCATTAGGCAGAGCTTCAAGAGACAGGGAAATGCAGAAGCTGTTGAAATGCTTGGGTTGCTGTGTATTTTAGTGAAGCAGCACTTACCCTTTTAGAAAAGTTGCTTGAATTGAATCAAATTAAAAGCAAAAGATTTATTTTGGTAATAGTGTGTTTTAGTTTAGCCCTGGCTTAGTGGGATGTTTCTTACAATTTGGTTTGCTGTAAGTGTTCAGGTTCACATGTTGGGGGTATGTGTGTGCACCTAAATTGATGTAACAGCATATCTAAAACTTTCTTTCCAGCTAACTTCCTGATCCTGCAGGTTAGCTTAACCGTGTTAGTCCTTCTTGGACAAATTTTTTTTAATAGCAGCATCCAAGTTTCAAAAAGGACCATGTAAAATTAGACATCTGGCTGCTTATTTGGCCATCTGCAGTTGCATGAAGCCCCAGTGTTTCAGACACATTTTTTTCTGCCTTGACATTTCACATGTGTTGGAAACAAAGGCTTCCTGGAGCTTGGTAAAAGACAATAAACACAGAGAAGATCTTTTGCTCAGAATTTATGTGCTATTTTCCAGACTAGCAGTTCAGAAATGTCAGATTTAGTCTGACTCCTGACCTTGCTGACAGTGGCTGCACGCTCAGCGCTTTGATGTGAAGACACTGGGTAGGTGCCAGAGGAAGGATTTTGAATCCCAGCTTTGGCTTCTAGTGCTGTAGATGAAAGTCTTACTTCATGCAAGAGAAATGGGGAGGAAAATCAAGTTTAATTAACTACATTATAGTTTTTTCAAAGTAGATTTGACTCTATAAGCTGATCTGGGATGTAGGAGATCCTTTTCCAGCAGTCATTTGTAATCAAAGTGGCAGTGAGTGATACCCAATGTCCTCACACAGCTGTCACCTCACTGGCTTAGAGTGCTGCTACTGGGATGTTAAGAACATGATCCAAGAGCAGCTGGAGAAAGAAGTAATTGAATTTGAACATGCAAAATATAAAATGGTTTCTGCTCCAGACCTTGTGCTATTCTTAAATCACTGCCTTATCTTGTAACTCACAAGTAATTTTGGCCTTTCTGCTGATAAGGTTTCTTGCTGCCTGCCTGTGCTGGAGAAACATCTTTGCTCCACAGACAGCCCCTTCACATCCCTGGAAATCAGCCCAGGAGCTCTGCAAATCCACCTCTACTCATCACTATTCCCACCTCTGGGCTGCCAGATTTGATTTCATCCATGTTCTTTGCTATCTTTGCAGTGGAAATCAACCCAGGTAGGACGAGTTTGTGCCAGCAGGTATTTAGATAGGAGAGGCTGTTATTCAATCCTTCTATAACTGGATTTGCAAGAGGACATAGTCTATAAAACACCCACCTGAGCACTTTCTCTGCTCACCACATCAATCCAATGAGCCTTTGGGCTTACACCAGGCAGGGTTTTGTGCCTTGGAGCTTGTGTCTTTTAATTTCATTTAGTGTTGTCTGTACATTTCTGTTTGAGACTTTGAAGAGGCAGTGAATAAGTTAATGGGTGTTTTTGTGGCCAAACAGATCTGCTCATACCAGGGAGAAGCAGGAAACACTGCATTCAAACATGTTCTCTAGGTTTGCTGTTGCTGGGGTTTTTTTTGGGTTTTTTAAATGCAGGTACTTAGGAAGAAATGAGCAAAGGTAGAGTATGGAAAAAGAATCAATCTTGGCTGAACACCTGATGGACTCAAAGAAAACCTGACCTACAAATCAGCTGCAGCTACTTTAGGTAATCAAAGATTATGATGAGTTGTGCATTACTTATTTCTTCTAGTCATGCTCTTGATATACTTTTGGGCTGACACTCTATTAATGTAAGGTTACTAAACGTATAGTTGGTAAAATCATACTGACATAAAATTCCATGTGTAATTATGTGTTTAAGGGTTTTAACATTCTTCTTCTGCTCAAAATCAACCAGTGAATCAGTTTCAGTATGAGCTTACATGGGAAGTGATTGGTGCAGCTGATGAAGAACGTGGATTTTATTTTGTTTTTAAATAAAGATTAAATTGTAGAAAAACCAGCTTTAATGGCTGCACTGGATTATTTCTGTGGCTCAGAAATTCTGTTGTGGCTTGTGTGGCTGAACAACCAAAGTGAACCCTGGAAAGGCAGATGCTGGGTCTGAGGCAAACATTGGGGTGCTGCAGCTGAGACTCACCCAAAAATCCAGTAACTGCTGGTCCTGCAGCATGTTTGGTTGGGCCAAACCCATTTTGGAGACAGCTTTGGGCAAAGCACCTGCCAGTATCTCCTCATCTCCTTGCTGTGACCATCCTGACTGAGCCCAGCTTCCCTGCTGTTAGAGCAGAGTATTCAGGAATCGGGGTAGCAGTGCAACCTCTGGCACAAGAAAAGCATCTCAGAATAGTGAGGCACACAAATTCCAATACATCCATCTCCCCCACTCCTTGTTTACGGCTTGAGCTTAAGCAAAGGAACTGGTTTGGTTTCTTCACCCTATTTTTGCATACAAGCATTGCTTTCACTCCCATGGAGATGTCTCTTACATATCCCAGTCCTGGGGGCACTTATGAAAATGAAACATTGACCCTCCTTTGACATTTTAATTTCTGCAGGATCTCTCTTCCTTGGGCACAAGAGACAGGAACTGGCCAAAGTGTGAAGCTTTCAGCATGCTGGCTGAAGGCTGATACCAACGTGGAATTCCATGGTGGTTTTGTGGACTCCAGGTGAGAAACTCCTGTTAAGTCTGAATGAGCAGATTCTGTGGAAGCTGAACTTACAGACCACAAATCAGTTCCTTTTGGTGATTCAGCACTGAGCTTGTGAGAAAACAAAAGATGTTGAGGAAGCAACTCATCCTCTTCCTCAGAGAAATACCATGCAGACCCAGGGAGTGTTTTAATCTGTACTCTATTTATTCTGAATGAGCAATCCACAGAAGATGTTGCCAAGCAATGTCACAGTTACTGATTTTGTCCCCTGGCAGTGACACCCCACTCAGCAAATGGTACCAACAGGAGACTGAAATGAATGCTACAGGCCAAGTTCCACCAATAAAAGCACCAGTAAGAGATGAGGGCTGCAGAATGCTGAGGTGAATCTGTCCAGTTGCTTCAAATGAAGTAACTTATTTCTCTTCCAGCCCCTGTGCAAGAAGAGGCATTGACAAGACCACTGGGACATGTGAGATGTTTAGTGACACTTCAATTGAATCACTAAGTTTAGGGGGGTTTAGGCACTCAAAAATATCCTGTGATCCTACTGGGCATGAGCTAGGGGCAGGAAAAGGCTCAGGTCCAGGAAAGGCTGGTTAAATGCCCCAGGCATCCCTACAGAGATGTGCTGTCAGAAAAATGCCTGTATGGAGAGAGCAGTTCTCAGAAGCCACCTCTTGGTCTGAGACAGCTACTGTTCCTATTTAAAATACCAGAAAAAGGGTAAAACCTTTTAAATATAATCACTCAGCTCTTTAAAACCAAAGTGGTGCCAGATTCATTAAAATGTTTTTCAAAGTGGGAGCTACAGGTCTGTAGCCACAAGAGCTCTGTAGTGTGGATGGTGTGGGGGACAGGGAGCTCTGAGTTTCCAGCATAAACACTGCTGGCTTGCAGGGCCAAAACCATGGAAGGGTTTGTAACAGGTAAGCCAAGGAAAAACTCAGGACATCTGTTTGACATCTATTTCTAAGGGTTCAGAGTGAGTAATTTTGAAGCCAATGGAGAATGCTCTGTGCCTACAACCCTCTCACACCCCTTTTTGTCCAAGAGCTGAAGACAGCTTGGCATGAACACATCAGAGTATTAATTTATAAGTGCTTATGGAATCTACAGTCATTTCCATTCATGATGATTTGTCACCTAATAGTGAGGTCACTCTAGTGTTGTTAGCTGGAAGGAACAGGCACAACTGTGCATTGCACATGAAGTCTTATTCAGTCAATTAAAAAAAGATCAAAGTTCAATATCCGTCCAGTGGCCTGCTGGACCCTTGGCAGATGATCTTTTCATCAAAAACTGATTCCCCTACTGATTCATCACTAAAACCTGAATCCTCTTGGCAGTCCAGTATAAATGTGTTTCAGACACAAAAATCCATCCACATGTTGTGAAAAAAATCAACTCCAGGTCACTTAAGACTATTGAGAAATTTTGGTTGTTCTTCTCCTCTTGGTAGAAGCGTTTCTCCACCAATCTTCGGACCTTTTTTCTCCTGGAAACATGAACCATGGAGAAAATAAGTTAAATGTGTGGTAGGCATCTCCCAAACACTTCTCTGGCAGGAATTGTGGTAGGGCTAAATTACCTGACTAAGCATTGACAGACCCTCTAGGGACCTTGACATTTTGACTTCTTACAACTTTGTTCAAATGCCATTTCCCCATGGTTAAATAAAACAAAGCTTTGAGAACAGAAAGCAAAAAGTAGCAGTCCACTATAACACAGCCTGCAGGCACCTGTGTGTACCTGACAAAGTGCAGAGCTGTTGGCTTTGCTGGGAGCTGGTAGGGGCACAGAACCAAAGAGGGGGACAAAAGTACCACAGGAAGCGGCTGGAGTGCTGAGGTGCTCACTCACACTTACCTTTAGCATCCCATCTCGCTCCCACTTGAAGAGGCCACAGTTACTGAAAGATGAAGATGGCAGGTGAGGAACACTGTGCTGTGTTTGCTACACAGTATGAGAGGATAACAGAGCAGCCCCACACCCAGCCCATGCTCCTTGGCACAAGGGCTAACATTCCCCTTTTGGGACACAGTTATGTGACTCACAACAAGTTACTTGTGAAGGGACGGTACCTAAGTCCCAGTCACTGTTTCATGAGGCTCATTTCTTACCTGCAGGGCTTTTTTGGAAGCCTGTCAAGGGAAATAGCTCTGCTTCCACAAGGACATTTGAAAAATCTCTTGATGGCATCATGCCAGAGGTAGTTGTGGTTATCCTGCACACAGGACTCCAGAGGCTTGAAATAGGTGTAATTACACTGTCAGGGAGGAGAGAGAGAGTGTGTGAGACCTGTTCTGGGGACTGGAAACAGCTGAATGTTCAGAGGAAAGCATCCCTGTCCTCTCCCATCCTGAGGAGCCCAGCAGTTGGATCACCACCCCAGGCTTTGTCCCTGCTCCTAATGCCATCCTCTCCTTGCCAGCACCCTGTGGTCCTTCTCCCAGCACTTTATGTGACACCAGTGTCCCTCTGTGCTATCCCAAAACAGGTAGGGAAGGCAGCAAGAGAGAAAGTTCAGCAGGGGCTGAAACTTTGGAAGGGGAAGGTAATGCTTCCCTTCCTGTCAGTACATTTGGGACAGTCATAAAGCTCCACTCCTGTTCCTGATGGCCAAGTCCCTGGAAATGCAGATAGAGGATTCACACATCTATCTACCTTAATGTTTTCAAGGACTTTGGTTATTTTTTCATAAGATATGGGGAACTGAGGGTCCTGGTACAAAGCACTTCATGGAAGCAATGGAGACATTCAGGACAGCAATACCCGTGGAACCACTGGCATAAGCACTGAGCTGAGATGTTGAGCACAGCACTGAAGCCTTGCCGTGTCTCAGTCACTCCGTGCACAGGCTGCTCTCAGCAACAGGCATAAGGAACAAAACATCAATCCCTGCACTGGACCACAGCTAAGAGAGTGACAGATGGGAGTCTGCAGGATAGTCCTGCACCATTTTGTAGAATCCATTTTGTAGAATTCCGCTCCCCTGCTGGTACCCTGGCTCCCCTTCACTCACTGTTTTACATGTCACAACTCTGCATTTCACTGCTTTAATGTTCCTCATCTTCTCTTCCAGTTCTTCCTTTTTCACCAGTGGCTGAAAGTATTTCTCCTGCAGTTCAGCCTCAACCTGCAGGGCACACAAAATGGGTTGTGCGGACACAGAGGGGAGAAGGCAATCCATAAATGGTTCTAGGGCAAACTATTATCAGGTCTGCTTAAAGCAGACTGCAGTCTGGGAGAAGGGAAACACAACATCTCTCTTGTTTCAAACAGTCCATTATTGTACACGTGCTGTAGCTCACCAGCACTGACACAAGCCACCTCTGAAATGCATAAGTGGGAAGGTTTAACAGCAGCAGGAAGTACTGAAATGAGCACATCCCATGAGGACAGTGCAGAGAGAAGTCAGGTAGGCAGAGGGAATTAATAGGTTCTTAGCCAAAATGTTACTCCCCGGAATACCTTAAAACAACTCTGACTTCATGCCAGTAAGTGTCCATGACAAGAGCCTTGTGCTGTTGGAGGTGCTGTAACCCTGGGGAAGTGCTCAGCAGAGACCCCCAGTGTGACCAACCCAACCTCTCAGCTCTCCAGGGCACCTGATGGCATTTCACAGCTGACATGAGCCCCAGATGAAGGTGGCAGCTGGCTTTATGTGGCCAAGATGTCAAGTAATGAGGGATAAAGTAGGCATGTGGCTCATTTGATTTTAAGGCAGAGGGATTTCTTTGATTATCCACCAATAGGAAACTTCACTGATTCTTCCAAACACAACAAAAGAACTGGTGTCACCTGGCAACATGACCTTACCCTGGCAATGGCAGCAGTGCTGACTTGCAGGCACTGTGCCCTGTGTGCCCAGAGACACCCAGCCCTACTCCTTGGGACAGTCTGGAGCCTGTGAGATGTTTGGGTGCCTGCTTCTTGCTGAAATAATGAGGAGTCCAGTCAGGTCCCCATTCTAAGCCCTCAGTCACAGCTGGATGGAGGCCATACCTCTTTTAGGACATCTGTGTGCTTGGACTTGGCCTTCAGGATTTTCTGGAACTCTTCTGACTCCAGATAGGCCAGCTGCTCACGCTGTTTCTTTTGGGCAGGTTCCAGTTCATCCATTTCTGGGGAGAAAAAAAGGTTCAGTCCTACAAAACAAGGCACTGAGGGCTAAAACTTGCTTACTGCAGGAGATTTTGGAAGTCTCAGGTCTCTCAGGCAGATGTTCAGGTCAAACAGCAGCCTTTCATAGTTTGGGAACGTGAAAACAAGTTCAAATATGGCTTCATAAAAAATAAAAGTATTTTTTAGAAATAACATTGCATCTTCTCTCAAAGCACTGTACTAGGAATTTTCACATTAGTCCCAGGAGTGCAAGCAGTGTTCCCTCACTGACTGATGAAGAATCTTTAAAGGGAATTAAACAATTCATCCAAGATCACACAGTAAATCATGAGCAGGCAAACTCAAGTTCACACAAAAAATTCAGACACCTTCCCAGGTGGCAGGGTTCTTGTTTTCCCTTGGTGAAGTCAGCCTTGCACTGCAGATGCTCAAGTGCCAGAAGAAAGGGAACAGAGATGAACACAGGGAGCTATCAGAGATTACATCTTACACTTTTTCCACAGGGTTAGAGATTTTTTCTTCTTTCCAACAAACCCTTGAAGTTCCAAACAGACATAACTTGGCCTCTTTTTAGCACAGCAATTAAGTCCTTAACCCAGAGCAACTCCTGCTCTGTCAGTAGGACAGAAGCACATTTTTTTCTGTTCTAGAAGCTAACAGTACATACCATTGTCTGCTTCTGCACCTTGTGGCTGAGCAGCATTTTTCTCAACTCTTTCAACAATTTCTAGGACATCCTCAGCATCAGTCCGTTTCCTCTTGATACTGTTTGGGTCTGTTTTAGGAAGAATCTGCCCTTTTGCTCGTAGTCGTCGTATTGCAGCCAGCTAGAAAACAGGAAAGAGCAGGGGAAGAGTGGCTGAGCTGTCTGGCCCCCAGCTCCTACTTCCAAGGAAGGCTGTCAACTGGAAGAGAGAACATCCACTGGCCTGAGCAGGGAGCTGGCTGGAGAGAGGCCCTACAAATTCCCAGCTCTGACATACACCTAACCTTTTGTGAATTCCCAAACCAGAAAATCACTTCTCCATAGGTGTTACCAGGCCTGGTGTCTCTGCAGCTGAGCTTTACCTGCTTCACAAATCAGTGTTTTTCAGAGAAATCAAATCACTTGAGATTTCCACATAAATTAATAATAATTAGGAATAGAAAATTTATTACAACTATTCCTTCTCATAGTCCCAGAATGCTAAGACTTCCTCATTCTAACTGGAAAAGTTTTTTGACAAACAAGTGAACTTATTTCTGCCAAAAAAAGAGGCAGTCTGTTTTGGCTGGAAAACAAAATTATCCAGACTCATGACACAACACAACGGTACCAGTTGCTTACCTACCTGTCAAACAGAAAACACCTGCCATACACTGCACTAGCAGTGCCAGAGTTTAGCACTCCAGGGTTTTAGGCACAAATCCCTTCCTTTAAGAGATTGACTGAAGGCAAGATGGCAGCATGGACTTTGGCACTGACAGCTATCAGGAACCACAGGTATCCTGTGTGCTGGAATATAGGCCAGTGTGATCCCTCAAATGAGAAACTTCACTAACACCAGAACTGAGCTGACCAAAGACTCCTCTTCTACCACAAACCAAGTTCCCCTTAACCTCTCTTTAGTACTTAAAAGATCCAAAGAGCTGGTACCTTTTTGGCTTCTGCCAGGCTGTCCAGCTTTGGCCTTGGAGGAGGAGACTTGTCAAAGAAGAGGATATCTTCTCCTTCTGAGAAGCCTGTACCTAGCCTGGGCCTTTGAGGAGTTGACATTTTTGCAGCTTTGGGAAACTCTGCCCCAGGCACTGGGGAATGGAGGGAGGTCTGTCTGGAGGAGGATGGGAGAGCAGGAGTGCTGGCTTTATCTGTGTTCTGGAGAAACCTTGTAAGACAAGAATAGTTCATTCGATTAGGGACAAGTCAGAGATAGAATGGTTTAAGAAACAAATAGGAGGGAATGCAGACTATGATTTTTTACTATTTGGCCTTTGATTGCTAAAAGAAACACACAGCAATTTTGGTATTCAGGAGAAGAAAACAAGACTGGTAAAGGACTCACTGGGTCACTAAAATCAAAAATGACTTGAACAAGTCACCAGAAGGAGTGAATGACCAATTGTTTTCAAAGCTAAAATCAGAGAGAGGCATCACACAAAGCTGAGAAGAAGTGAAAACACAGCTATCCTTATGGATACAGTAGCAGAACCCTTCCTGTGAAAGCCCCTGTGTCTTACCGCCTCTGAATCTCTTCAGATCGCTTTTTTCTGGCCTCCAGCAATTTCTGTTTCTGTTGCTTGATCAGTTCTGAAGCAGAGATAGACTGGAAATTTGCCCCTTGCTTCTTTTCAGCATCTGGGAAAAAATAATAAAGCAAAATAAAAAGCCACTTTTTCAGAAGGAGGTAGAGTGATTTTAGGAGTGGGTCTTCCTTCAGGCAAAAGGACAATACCTGTTTTGGTCCAGTGTTTGGAGAGGTTTCGTGCTCCAAAAGTTGGCTGTGCCAGCAGTTCCCTGAATTCTTCAGAACATTGCATGGGTCTCTTTGCTGCACCTGAGTGGAAGAGGCAGAAATACGACAGATTTGACATGAGGAAGGGAAGCAGGCCTGGCTTCTGAGATGTAAAGTTGTCTAGGTTGGAAGAAACCCTTGCAGGTCAGCTGACCACTTCCTCAAAGCAAGACCAACCTTTACATTATATTTGGTTGCCCAAAGTCTTGTCATTTGTCACAGACATTTCTATCCCTTCAGCAACTCAATCACTCAGCTCCTCATCAGCCTGGGCTCTCTGTGTTACTCCCACCATTCCCATTTTTAGGATGCTTGACAGTCCTGAAGGCTCCACACTTCATCCCTGGAGAATTATTCACAGCAGCTAAAAGCTGTATGGACATACACTAGGTTGTCTGAAATGAAGGCAACTAACAGATGGAACTGAAAGATGTAAATAAGACTAAGTGGTACCTAGAAGACAGTTTGAATAATCTGTCACCTGCTATCCAAGGAGCATAAAGAGTGTAAAATTAAATGCTTTACAGAAACCAAACAGAGGCAGGGAAGACTGATGACATCCCAGGGGCTACAAAAGGAAAATGCTTTGACAGAAAAGGACTAGAAACAAGGTGGGTTTTCAGAGGTTGCCTGCATTGCAGACCTGACTGATTTATACTTAGTATTCCTTAGAAGCTTTCAAGGTGACAGAAATAATTTATTTTAATCAAATAAAATAAATCCTTTGGTTCAAAGTTCTTGAAACTTCCAATTCCCATTAATCTGGCAAAGATCTTCTGTCACTGTCCAAAGACAGAACAGGAGACTTTATCTGGGTGCACTGATGAAAAAAAGATGCATGAAGCCACACAGTTGCTTATTACATTTGCCTTGAAACTGTGATCTCAAGAGGGAAGAGGAGTTTTGACCAGCTGAGGAAGCTGCCTGCAAATGACCCCTTCTGAACAAAGTGACTGCCAGGTTCAGTCAGTGATAGAAGGCCCTGGGACACATCTACACATCAAGCTGGAAACACCTAAAGAGTGAAGAGACTACTTGAGCAATTGGGTACCAATTTTCTGCCTGGTTTCCTGGACAATTGCATCAGATCCTCTCACGACCAGGTTGGAGAGAGTGGTTTGAATCTTCCTTTTCGGCACAGCAGCTGATGCACTAGAAAGAGGAAACAAATCCAGAACATCAGAGTTTTCCCGTGCTTAGAGCAAGGACAGAAGCCTGAATACTAGCCCAGGGGAACAACAGAACTCCAGCCACCCTAAAGGGCCAGCTGTCTGTTTTTTGGAAGGATGTGAATCTAAATCCAAATTCCAGCATAATGTTTAGGATCTCCCATTTCTCCCTTTGTTGAGATATGTATTTCCTATGCATTGCAGGAAAACTAAACATAGATCAAAGCTTTGCTTTGCTCACAGGTTGTTCCAGGGATGGAAAGGAGGTTGGAATTGCTTCATTACTGTAGAGTCACACCAGGTATCAGAGGGCAGTGGTAAGGGAATAAAAGCTGTGTCCAAGCACAGGGCTGGATCCAGCTGTGACTCAGCTCTTTCCACATCTGTCTTCATGGGATTTGGATAAAGGACCTGGCCCCTATGAGATGCATACTGATCTTGGTCAGTCCTGTTTCCTCATTAACCCAGAGTGACGCTGTATTATTTCAGCCAGGGAAGACATGAGGAGATACAGCAAACACTGACTCTGGGATTAAATGCAGTAAGCTTTAAGAAAACACAGTTACAATCTCAGAGACTCGAATGCTTGGGATCTCATGATCTCAAAGTCCATTAATCTACTGAAACACAAAGCTGCCTGGCTTCACACCACAGTATTAACGTAGAGGTTAAAACAACCCTTACCACATCTTAGTACCAACTCAAAATTTTCCTGTCAAACAGCAGTTAACCCCATGTGGCCAGTGGGGTTATGCCAAGTGTGGGGCTTTATTCCTATCTGGTGAACGTAGTTAAGGCAAAGGCATTCCCTAAATGCATAGACTCCCTTAGACATAGCTTCAGGCTCCCTTGTGTATGTGAGGGAAATTCTGTTCAAAAGCAAGGGAAATAAATGGTTTATCTTACACTGAGGCTGCATATGCTGCTGAAGAGACTCCTCCATAGTAAAACCCATCCTGACACAGCCTCTCCTTCAAAGTGGGATTTTTCCGACCAACTTTTTTGGGAATGCGGCCACCAGAAAAGGTGGACTGCAGATCTGCCCGCTTCGAGCTGAGCTTCTTGTACTGAGACTGGATGTGATACTGACAGTATTCACAGTCATTCTGAAAAGAAATGGGAGAAGCCTGTTACAGAACACCAGCAATTACAATTTCCTTCATTCCTCTCACCCACATGCATCCTTTATGGCTAAAATGAAGTAACATCTCTACTGTGGTACTCAGCATTTGATCAACTAAACAAAAAAAATGCCCATACTCAAGCAATAAAAAACAAAGCCAAAATTGCCTATACTAATCACTGGAAATAACCTTGTGCATCAAGGAATTTTAAGGCCATTCCTTGAATTAAGTCCATGTCCCATCCAGGACCTCTTGCTCAGATTCTGTATTCTTGACTCTACTCAGTTTTATGTACTGTATGCACAGCCTCCTCCTGGAGTGGGTCTGCAATCACAGACTTGACTGGCTACAAGTACCATCTGTATTTTTCTTCTTCCCACTTCCCACACTTCCAGCTCCTCCCCAGTTGTTCATTCCTTAATTTTTTCTCCTCCTTCTGACACCCTACTATCTACACAACCCTTCTGACTCAGACAAGGTTCCTTTCAGGTATCACAGCATCACCACAGCAATAAAGTAACATAATCCACAAGTCCTTTTAACTAGCACAAGTCAGTAATGTCCTAAAAGAAGGATCCCAAAACTTTTTTGTCTCATTTCGGGTGCCCCACATTCAGGTGTAAGTATTCTAACAGCTTGCAGGTATGCTGGACAAGGGAGCTCATTGGGTGAAAATCATTCCAAAACATAGCCATTCCAAAAAAACCATCTTGTGTTCTTTTCCTCTGGATGAGTTTTCTGGTGCAGTGCATGGAAGCTTGCATTGGAGCAAAGGAGAGTGAAAGGGTGTGGCATCATGGCTCAATACCATCTCCTTTCACTGCAGCACCAACCTTGCATTCAGGGAAATCCCCTGCACAATGACAACACAGAAACAGCTCCTATGGGTTCCATTTCTCACTTTCTCCACCCACTTGAGTTAGTTGCAATTCAAGATCCAGAAACAAGTAAAAAAAGTCAGAGTATCAGTACAAAATCAGCAGCCAGATTTTCACCAACAGCTTAGGAATATACCCTGGCTACTGAGATACAGACCAGGTTCACAATCTGTGCACAAGGATCACCATTCTTCTTCCTGGCTTTGCAGGTGCCCATATCCAGAGCTTCTCCCATGAGGAGGATCTTCTGGGGATGGTCAACGGACAAACACACCTGGACAGAAATCAGAACACTCTGGATAGGCTCTTTCTAGATGTCACTGGTTTGTCTCTGATCTGGGTCAGTACCTCTGGTACTAACAATGCAGTCTTAAAATGCAGGCCTAGTTTAAGAAAGCCGTGTGAAAGACATTTGAGTTCTATGCTCAGAGCCTCAGGAAACCAAAAAACACCTAAGGCAGTTCTAATTGTGCTGTAAATGATCCTGTACAGCTCTTGGCTCTGATACCATCATGACCCCCACATCCAGCAAGGGATGAGAGGAAGAGCTGTACCAGGGCTTTCTGTTCTCCAAATGTCTTGGTCCAATCAAAATTGAGTCCTGTGCAAGAAGAGTGTCTGCTTCACACCACCAAATACAGCAGGGACTGCGTCTGTAGCCAAGGGACAATTTCAGAAGTCAGATTTAATGCAGTAATAAATGGGAACATTTTAGCTAGGAAGAGCCATTCTTGACAGTTAAATGCATCCCTCCTATTAAATCTGGTGTGCCTTTCTGCTCGCCAACGGGACTATCTACTGCTTATTCATGCTAATTTAAGCAATTATATAGCTTAAAAGACAATTAATGAGAGCCTTAATTTTTCTATTTGGAGAATTTAACATGCAGAACACTACATGATCAGCTACTAGGCTGAAATTCCCTTTGACAGAAGTAACTGGAAACAGGTTCCATTCCAGTGCAATTAAAAATATATTAATTTATTAGCAAAATGAAGCAAACTTAAATGTTTTTCATGTTCTGCATTTATAAATAATCGATTAAACAAGTGAACTACTATGTATCAGCTGACATATATTTACATGTTTTTTTAATAAATCAAATATTGCTGCCTCTCTGTTGTGATTTTTGAACCAGAAACATTTTGTAATTGTATCTCATGCTTGAATTAGAAGAAAGAAAATGTGGTGCTCCACCTTTTTCAGCTTTGAGAGACGTCTAGGCTGAAACAGGTGTTACACTGAAGTAGCTGAATAAACTGAAATGAAAATACACTCTCTGTATTTGTGGAAGAGCCAACTGGTACCGAGAGCAGATTAAAAACTGGAATAAACTCTGGGTTTAAATGGTTAATAGGACTTCTTGAAGTTCAGTCTCCCAGGAGGCCAGGAGCAGATACACACCATGCAACTTCCTCAATGCAATTCAAACTGTGGGGCAGACTGCTGCGATTTCAACCTGAAGATGTGCTATAAAATGAAATCTCAGCCAAATATGAAAAGGTTCAGCTGTAGGTTTTTATCTACAACTGAATGAAAAATCCTCTCACCTCATCTGAGCCTTCCTTAGGTTTCATGGGGTTGGCATTGAGCAGGCCAATGACAGTGCCTTGGTCGGTCTTCCAGTGCTCCTTGTGGACTTCTCCAAACAGGAAGAGCGAGACGCACTCACTGAGGTCCCGCAGGTCGTTCAGCCGCCAGATGCTGAAGGTCCTGCCCTGGAACAGACATTCCCTTTCCTTTCAGCTTTGCTGCAGACACACTGACTGCATCCCCTCTGGCTGTTTCTTTTAAAGAGCTATTCTGACTTGCCCCCTCCCACGGTTTTCATGATTTAGAAAAGCACAATTTGTAACCTCAGTAGAGCTTACATACAGTACCCTCCAGCCATCCATGTTGCCAGTTTCTGGGGTCAAAAAGGCCAAAATAGCAAATAATGCTGCTGCTACTACCAACCTTTCTGATATCAAAGCTGGGCAGCACACTTGTTTGTTGAATATAGAGGTTTTTACCTCACTGAACTCACAAAACCATGGCATATCCAGATCACTTTAATCAATGACTTTCTATAGGGCACAAACAATACTGGATAAAACCAGACAAGCCAAGATCTTTACTACAGAAATTTTACATTAACTACATGAATTGGCTGATTAAGCTGAAGATCTAGGGAAGTTTCTCAGGAAAGACCACCAGCATTTCACTTGAACTGAGCAAGGGATACAATGAAGTTACTTACATTATTTGCGCTCTGAGGAGTGACCTTCTTCACTATGACTCCAAATGTTACCCAGTCTATTTCCTCCAGATTTTCAGTAGCAAGTTTGTTCTTCAGCTGAGACAGTCGGATGAGCTTCCTGTTAGCCATTTTCCTGTCCATTTCGGCTGAAGACACGCGGGGTTTTCTAGATCCAGTGAAAGCAAGTAAAAAACAACACATCCATTGGCACAAATGGACATTCAAAACCAACCAGCACTTCCCTGAGGAGACTACATCTTGCTGCAAAACACCTCTGTGCCTTGCTTCACCCTGAGGTCACTTGAAATGAAACCCCCCCATAACAGAAAGCTACTGATGACACTGTTTTTTGTCCAAATAGCTGCATGGCAACTCAGCCCCTAGCCTACATTAACTCTGCTCATTTCAGACTAACCAAGAATTGCTGACTGAGCTGGGGGTACAGCTCGGGTTCTGGTGAGGACACCGTGAGGATTCAGAGTCCTCTTGTGGCCACAGTGAGTATAGGGATGCTGAGTGGCTCCTGAGGCTTCTGTGTGCAGCAAAAACTGGCTCAACAGGAGCTCAGCTGGGCTTTGTGCATGGCCACTGCTTCCCTGCTCTGCCACTGAGATTTCCCAGGGAAGGCAGTGCTAATGAAATTAGAGCCTTTCTGTTAGAAAGGAGCAGAAGTGAATACAGAAACATGGTACTAAGCCAAAAGTCAATGTTACATGATTACTGATCAACCAGCCAGTGCTGTGGCTTTGTGTTACACCCCTTCATGACAAGTGACTAATCTAAGATGACTAAACCACATATATACATTGTGTTTTCTTTGCCTTTACTGGAGGGGTTGTCCCCAGACAGGGCTCAGAGCTGGGCTGCTGACCTTAATCTCAGTCCTGAGAAGGTTTCCACAGACACTGGCTGTGTGGTTGCACTGGAGCATGCAGGCACGTGAGGAGTCTTCTCTCTGGTCACCTTACCGGGTGTGCTCCCTACGGCAGACTTGAGAGGCTGGAACGCCAGACTGAGGACTTGGCGTGGAGGAGGAATCTTGTTCTCTTTAGCAGAAGAAAAAAGACATAGCTCCCATTACAAAGAATACAATAATTAACTTAATAATTAATTAACAAGCTCTCTGCCACTGTGACCAGATCACTCTTGGTGCACTGAGTAGTGTAACACTGTCCTGGATGTGTCCACACCACTGCTGGGAACTATAAGGTTTCGACAGAAGCTCAGTGTCTTTAGTAAAAGGTAGACTGAGAATGGTACCTGCTGAGGATGCTTTGGATTTCTTGATTCCTTGCTTGGCTGGTGGTAAAGGATTGCCCAGCTGGGCTGAGAAGCATGGTGACTCTTGCAGCTTCTGAACTTTCCTTTCCTTTAAGGGTGGACAGGGAGATTTACCTGGCCAAGGGAACAAAAAACTATGAGATTTCAGGATCTGGACTCACACTCTAAGCACTGTTCCAAACTGTAATTCCTGAATAACAAGTCCAAGTCACTGCCCCACATGGAAACCTTTCAGCCAAGTTGTCAGCTGAAATGCACCAGCTGAAAAAGCACCAAAGACTCTTCCCCATGACAACTTAAGACTTTGGATGTCACTGCAACCTCAAAGCTGTGGAAAGTAGAAACATCCCCTGTTTTGCAATCTTTCCATGAAGTTTCATTACGACATCCAGCACACTATAGCAACAAACACAGCTGAATATTCTGGGTGTACCAACATCTGTCAGTAAGAAGGGACCCCTCCAGAACAGTCAGGAGCACTTAGTCATGGAACCTGTCCAATGTAGAATTAATCCATGATGCAGAGACCAAAACTGATTTAATCTGTAGCTGTAAGAAACAACCTGTCTGTGAATACACCAGACCACCATTCCTCCTTGCTACTTTAGGATTATTTTACGTTCTGCCTATAAACTCACATGGGTAAGCCAACAAATCATAAATCCATTTAATTAGTTTCATTACCAGAAGTCTTCTTCTCAGGGCCTGAACTGGATTGCTGCCCAAGAGCAGTCTTCTGCAACTGCTCCTGTAACGTCTTCATCTGTTCTTGCAATTTTCTCAGCTCAGCTAGGAAAGAAAGGAGAAGAAAAAGGATAATAAGACAGCAGGAAGCCATTGCACACAGGGATTTATAAGATCCCTGGAAGTCTGGCAGTTCTACTGCATCATGGAAACTCAAAGGAAGACTTGAGTCATAATGCAGATTTACTTGATTCTACATAGCTCATAGTGAAGGCAAACTTTTCTACACAGCCTGGAGCTGGGTCCTCTCATAAAAATATTTTACTTCATTATGGTGTGTTCCTTCCCATGTTGAATACAACTTTCCTGCTCACCTTATAAGACAACTGAAATGGCTGATGATTGTACTCCTTAGCATAAAGAAGTACTTCCTTATATAATCAAATATACAGCCTGGACACAGGAAAGCTGTGGCCAGCTCTGCTTCCACAATGACTTCCACACTGCTAGGGCAGAACCTCCTGTCAGTAATCCTGAGGGGGAAGGAACTGGTGTGCTGGTGAAAGATGCCAGGATGGTGTCTGGTGCCCTGAAGACTGAGGGCCCAACATTGCTCTTCATCAGACAAGGCACAGGCACACAGGCAACCTTCCCTATGCTACTCAGCACAGCTCTGTTAGTCTCCCTGGCTTACTTAAGTCCTCTGTCTTTCTTTTGGGAAAACAGGTTTGGTGAGTTTGGCCACTGGATGCTGAAAACTGAACTTAGAAACTTTCACAAGGCCTTTCAGTATTTCCTCTCCAGCCATCATAAAGAAGGGGCAGGCAATGCCTCCTGCCTGTTAACTCTCTAGAGACAGAATACATCAAACAAAACAGATCAAAGATGGTGTTGCAGAAACCTTGCAGTTCTTCATTGGTTTTCTCCTTCGCCTGACTGGGAGCTGAAGTGGGGACAGCTTTCTGTGCCTCCTCCTCTTCCAGCAGGTCATCTACATCTCCAAACAGTGTAGCCAAGTTCTCCTTCTGCTCATCAGTCATGCTGTCCTCAGCATCAACCTCCTCAGTGTAGGATGCATCATCTTCTGCATCAAAGAGCTCATCATACTCATCTGGTTCTCCATCTTCATCCTCAGGAGCATCTTCCTCCTCAGGAGAATGCCTCTCCTCAGTTGCTTCATTTTCTTCCAGAAGGGAAGCCAACAGATCCAAGTCATCATCAGCTAAGACAAAAATGAGACTCAGAATTATTTCTGTCAAGTTAGAAAAAAGCAGCTAAGGAATAAACATCCAAGACACCTTGATTACAAGCTAATGACAACTGAAACTAAATCAGAGCAGCAAGCAGCATTTTTAAAAAAATATATTTCAGGTTTAACTAAAGGCAGCTAGAGCAGCTTCTGGCTGTGAGGCCAGATGGAAATATAGTTGCAGATGCTCTCAGCTCATGGCACAGGCTGGCAAGTCAGCAGAAAACTTGCCAGCTACTCAGCACTGGCTTTTCCTTCTATGCAGTTCCTTGAACAGCAGCTGCTGTTACACAGAAAAGCCTGGAACCTGTAAACATGTAGCCAACAGAGACACTCATGTGGCTTTTGCCAAAGGAAGGGGAAGAGGGATATGCAAGGCAGGCAACAAAGCACATCCTTGGATACAGTGTGCTCCTGGAAAAACGCTGAGAACAAAGAAAGAGGGACAAAAACGGAAAAGAGAGAAGTACAGAGAGAAGCATGGGACAGACAGAGCAGAAGTGAAAATCTGAGCAAACCAAGAAACTGATTTAGACTTTGCTGCTGAGGAAAACACCAAATCAGGGAAGGCAAAGAGTAGCCTCACAGGAAAGTGACAAGAAAGAAAGCAAGAGGCAACCTCAAGGGACTCTGCCTCAAGCAAGAGGCAACCTCAAATAAACTCAGTGGAGTGTAAATTCCTTTGCTAAAAGCCTCACCAGGTTTTCTGAACACTTGAACTTATTAGCTAACAGGTTGATAAGAAGAAAAGTTTCCCACTGAAAGGAAAAGAATTTTCTCCCTTACCATCCATAGCTTCACCAGGATTTCTTCAAGAGCCCCTCAAGACAAAATATTCTGTTATGGGGAGAACAGAAGTGATACTGTTAAAGATACACATACCGTATCTAGAAATATATATTGTGTTCAGGCTCTTTGTTTCACAACTTGCAATGTACCAGCTTGGTTTTGTTTACAGCCACAGATGAGAACTCCACTCAATTTAAAACCCTCACATACACCTTCTACATCAAAAGTCTGACCCGTGCTGAACCTGCTGCAGTGTAAGGACACTACTTTTATAAAAAAAGCTCATTACAGACACAGAATTTAAGAAATGCCTACCACGTTCTCATAGTAATAACCACTTCCACCTCACCTGATTACACTGAGTACACCATAATTACAACTAGCATTTAACCAGTTATTAAAGTTTAACAGTGGTTATTATCAAAAGTGTACATTCTGCATTTCTCACAGCTTCTCCAAGGGTCCGTGGAAAAAAAATCAGCACGGGCGGACATGAATGGGCCAGGGAAGCTTGGATAAGAAAGATGGGATACCCACTGAGGCCAAATGAGTCACAAACTCGAAACCGTGCTTACAGACTTCCTGCTGCAGAATCTTTTGTTTCGCCCGCTTTTGATAGTTTTCTCGTGCTCCAAAACATTCATTTTCAGCAACACTGCTCAACTCGCACGAGCAGGCAAGGCCGCCGCGGACCCCGCGCTTTTCCCCTCACGCTTCCCCTCTCCGCTCGGCCGCCTCCCTCACCTAGCAGAACCCCGACCTCCTGCGGGGCTTCCCGACCCTCGGCTCGCTCTGTGTGCCCGGGATCGCTCCGTGTGCCCGAGGATCTCTCCGTATGCCCGGGATCGCTCCCCGTGCCCCGGGATCGCTCCGTGTGCCCGGGATCGCTCCCCGTGCCCCGGGATCGCTCCCCGTGCCCCGCTCTCCCGCTCCCCTCACACACCCCGCTCACCGCCGCGCGCGCCGTCAGTACCCGCCAGAATTCGGACCGACCCCGCCCCTTCCCGCGCATGCGCGCATGCGCCATCTTTAGTGCTGGCAGCCGCGGCGCTGCCCGGCGCCATCTTGGCTGTGGGCGGGAGGAGGAGAAGGGGTGGGCGCCCGCTGAGGCGTGGCGATGGCGGCCTGGGGATCGCAGAGTCTATGGGATTGGAAAAATCCTGTCGAGTCCAACCTATAACAGATCACCTCCTGTCAACTAGATCACGGCACTGACTGTCACGTCCGGACTTTCTTTAAACATCTGCAGGGACGGTCACTCTACCAATGTCGAATCACCCTTTCTGTGAAGAAACTGCTCCCACTGTCCAACCTAAACCTCCCCTGCTGCAGCTTGAGGCCATGTCCTGTCATGCTGTTGCCTGGGAGAGGAGCCCGACCCCCACCCGGCTACCTCCTCATCAGTTGTAGAGTGAAAAGGTCCCCCTGAGCCTCCTTTTCCCCAGGCTGAGCCCCCTCAGCTGCTCCTCCTCAGACTCGTGCTCCAGCCCCTTCCCAGCCCCACTGCCCTTCCCGGACACTCCCCAGCCCCTCAATGCCCTTCCTGGGCTGAGGGGCCAGAACTGAACAGGGGAATCAGGTTGTGGCCACATCAATGCCCACAACAGAGCGAAGAATCACACCCTTGGTTCTGCTGGACGCATTATTCCTGATAGAGGCTCTGGGTGAGCCCATTTAGCTGCAGAGTTGCCCGTGTCTGGGCAGAGTGGCCTCAGGAAGGGGTCACAGCAGGTGCCATCCTCATCAGGATAACCTAAACAATGTCAACACTTGTTTGACACCCCCAAATTCAATCCTTGTTATTGTCACATGCAGTGGACAAAATTTTGTAGGTTGGTTAGTTTTTCTTTGGTACAACTGTAATTCTATGAAAAATAGGTCTGAGGATGTACAAGCTCATTGCTGGACTGCAGTTAGTAATGACAGCAAAAAATAATTTTCCATGTAGCATGAACAGGTGTCTGTGTATTGTGGCTTTATTCTTTGCAGTTCCTCGCCCCTCCTGATTTGTACTAATAGACCTGCTCTTCTGTCTTTCTATGAAGACCTATTTCACCTAATGCCCATGTTTTCCTGTTAGCACTCCTGTGCTAACATCCCATCTCTGAAACCTCCTCAGATGATTCATTCTGATTTGACAAATGTGTAAGTTATTCCTTCTTCGCCCTTTCACATTGATTTTCTGTGTTTTCATTAAGGTTAATACTTCAGATGAAATCAGCTCTATTATTCTGTTAGTTTGCTTCTGGCCTAGCAGCATTTCCATCAGATTTTAATCATTGCAGAATCTGTAACCATCACAGCTCCCATAATAAAACTGGATTCAGGGTAAAAAAAGCCTATAAATCCTACTGTCAAAAGGAACCAATTAAAAGCCAGTAAGAGATTGCATCTGATGGGACTAGTTGTAATTGATGGAGAAGGTTGTAACGAGGCTGATGAATACCTCTTCACAACAGTCAGCTCTTGTGTTACCTGAAATTATGGATGAAGCTATAAATGAGCTATAACAAAAAACAAGAATCCAGAGTCTAAAAGTGGTAATTAGAACAATGACAACAAGCCAAGTAAAAAACTTACTCAAATTACAACAACAAAAAGGGTATTTTCTCCTTTTTGTTGAGATAAAAACACCTGGGAGTACAAGAATAGAACTAATCCACTACAGTTGTTTCTACACAAGCTTTTCAGACATAGGAATTTGAAATCGTGTTCCAGTCTCCCACATACTCACAGAGGCACAGATAAATTTATAATTGTAATATATTTATTTTGATACGTGAAAATCCACTATACTCTTTTTAAATTAGGTTACATCCATCTCAGTGCTTTCTACCACAATACTGTACAAGTTCAAATGCTTGTATTATAATAAAGAAAAATTAAGACAACATCATAAAAATTAACAGTTCTATAAAACCAAGTGACTTGAGTACAGCAGGAGCTACATATATCAGACCTAGCTGATCCGTTTTAAACCTTACCCACATCTGGCTAAAGCAAGAAGTTACATAAGCCATCAAAAATTTAACATCAGATTAGTATGGTCACAAGGGCAGCAATGAAATGGCCATCTGGAGAAAGATCAGGGTTCACTTCAAATTCTCGATGAATACAGCACTATTCCATTTTGCTGAAAGCTTCTCAAACAGCTTTTTTCATGTATTACTTTCCTGGTATATAGTATAGAAGAGATGAAGTATTTACAGGCTCACATGTATTTTGTGTATATATATATATATATTTGATCAGCAAATATCTCATCTCTCCTCCAGCTTCAGTGATTCAGCCCTGTTCTGCAGAGTAGCCATAGAGCAGAGCACTTCAGGGAATGTTCCTGAAAGGTTTCATAGCAGCAGACACACTGCAAGTTCTGTAGCGCATCCATGTTGTTAAATCTATGAAAACTCCTTCCCTAAAGCAGATTACAACAAGATTAGTGATTACAGGACATGGGAAGAGTTTTACCCTTTTCCCATTGAATTAGCAAAGCAAACCCCTGAAAACCTCCTTCATAGGACATAAGAGCTGAGCATTATTTGAGCAAGAAGGAAAAAACTCCCAAGTGTTTGGCAGGCGAAATTCCAGAAGACAAAGAATTGGAGGGCATCACTCAATTAATGCAGTCCATAACGTGAATCTGCAGTGTGTCCAAATCAGGTAGAATTTCTTCACATTTAGGACATGAATAAATTGAAATATTCCGCTGCTCTGGCCAATCTTGACTATTAGTTCCTGCAAGCAGAGAAGATAAATGATGAAGTATTATATTACCCAATTTTGCTCTCTGCAGCTATCCAGCTGTTAGAATACCCACAGGGAAGCTGTCTGCAGCCGAACAAAGCTGGTTTAACCTGAACCTGACCCCAAGGGCTGGAGAAGGTGCCTGCAGTACCTCTTTGGACAAGGTGAGGTGAGTGCTCCCGATCCGGCATCCTGGCTCCGTGGCGACTCTGCATCTCTGCCAGAGAGGTTCTGTGGATAATAAACAAGTCAAGGATTCTGAAAACAGACTCCTTTCAACTGGTCATGCATTTAGTTCACAACTGCTGCTCAGAAACAGGACCTAGAAATGCCATTGCTTTGTGAGATCATGCCAGAGGTCTGCTGAAATCAGGGTCATGCAACTGACACCAGCAGCGGGATTTGGGCAGCCACACACCTAGGGATCTAGGGCACACTTCTCTGGAAAACTCCAAGGACTCTCAGCTGTTCAGGGAAAACTGAAAATTTGCTTTAAGTAGAAAAGCAAGTTATACCATAAAAAGGACTCAGTGTACAGGTAATGTGAAATGTAACTCGATTCAACTACCACAGAACTTGGAACTGTGTACTCACCACTGCCTCCTGGAGAAGCAGCAGATATCCCTGGCACACACTGAGCAGGATTAGCTGCAGATTCACAGCTAAAACTGAGGCCAAAACCCAAAGAAACTCACATGGATCAACAGGGAGAATTCACCAAGCATGCATCATCCAAAATGAAAACTTACTAAGACACCCAACTAAGAACTAACATACTTTACAGAGATTCTACCAGAAAATGGAGAAGTCAGCCAATTCATTTTTTTTCTCCTTTTAAATTCAAATTAGGCAATAAATGTCTGCAAGTTATTTGCCTTTCTACTGAGATGCTCACAAAGACAATGCTGGTCAACACCACTACACAGAATAACAGGACAGTGCAAAGGCAGTTCAGCCAAAGTCTGTTCTCACCGGCCAAGATCTTCAAAGTTTTGCTGCTCTTTTAGTAGGTATGCCAGCTGGACAGCCAACTGCTCCTTCTCCTCATGGATCTTCTCTCTTGCTGCCCTCTCAGCATGGAAATCAGAACAATAAACCTCCATCTGATCAGAGAAATGAAATTAGGCTGAAAATGTGTAACTTTGACTGAACTGTATTTGTATATTACATGTCAAAATCACAAATCTGTATCATAATCTGCATCTACTCAAAACACTGCAAAGCCAAGACCTGCACTTCTCCCAGAGTGAACAAGACCTAACGCTTTCTGGACTCTGTAAAAGATACTTTGAGTGTCTTACCTGGGACACAGGTATTTCCTCTGCTGTACAGAGGCAAAAAGGAGGAACAGACAAGCAGTGAGGAGGTGACTTGATTGTTTATACACATAAATCTGTGGTTCAGATAGTGGAACCAGGCCAAGATGCCAGTTCTGTGCCTTAAATGTGAGGCAAACCCTTTTTAGTCACTTAACACATGCTGGTTTGAGTAAAATCATTCCTAAAACATATGCAGTGATTCTTAAGCCAGTGGTTCTAAATACACATCTACTCCCAACTTGTGTTTGTTGTGCCAGACTCCAGCATACACAGTTCCTCCTACAGAGCCCTAGAATACAGAGGGTAAAGGCTCTGCAGGTGTCTGCAAGACAAGCCAAGTAAGGGGTGTTATGCTTTGAAGTTGAGAAAACCTATTTAGCATTCGAGAGTGAGCCATTAAATACCTCCTGGTTTCTGAATACTGGGTGGGGAAAGTAGCCAGTTTGTGAAGAAGAGCTGATACCTGAGCACGGAGTACAGACATTGTTTCAAGGTCCTCCTCTTGCTTAGCAATTATCTGCTTCATTTCATCTATCTGGAGCTGCTTTGCAGCAAGGGCTTGTTCTGCCAACTCCACCTTTGCTGTCAGTTGTTCCACCACAGCTTTATCTACTTTGTCCAGCTGCAAAGAAGAACTGTGATTACGAGATGAACTCCGAATATGAACCTCCTCAAAGTGAAAGTTTGCTTCTTACTCCTGTCCTTGGAAAAGGTTCCCATTTTGGTCACCAAAAGAACTTGAACTAAGACAGCAGTGGTGACTGATATTTTACCTTAAATATTAGTTTTGAGCTTTCAAACGGCATTGTATCAAGTTAAAAGACAACCCCCTAGTGGACACTGCAAAAGATGTTTTCCTAGCTTCTGAAATGACACAGAACAATATGGCACTTCCATGGTGGTTCAGTTCCTAACAAGACCTCACTGTGGCAGGATTTCTATTTAAGAA